GGTAGCTAGTCTCCAGTGCACGGAGGTGAGTGGCGAGATCAGCGACAGTGGGGAAAGCAGAGAGATCGGGGAAGAGCATGGGGAGGATCAAGCGTCCAGCTCAGGCGGAGGCAAGCGTGTAGTAGCGTGCAACTACTGCATCTATGAAGTCTTTGGCGTTTGCTACAGCAGTGAAGCGGTGACACTGAGATAGGGGAAGCGCATGACTAATGGCAAGCTGCGCTACAGCATCGGGAGAATCCCAAATAGTGCGAGCGAGCGCAGCAGCAGCAAAGGCCTCACTCTCGGCAGTGGTGGGGTCAGCAGGTAGGGGATCAGGCGCGGGGCGGCGGGGAAGCAAGCCATCAACATGCATAGCCAGGGAGTGCCCATCCTGGCGCTGACCTGTGGGGTGCCGGTGAAGATTGACAAGCCAGGCGGCGAAGTCGAACGCGTGCCCCTCCGCGTCCAGACGTAGCATGGCGTCTGCCATCGCGCAACCTCAGTGGCACTGGGACACAGTGGCACAGCAGCACATGGACACAGCCGCACAGGGACACAGGTACTCAGCTGCACGGAAATACATCGACGTGGCGGCAGGACTCTCCGGAACGGAGACCAGGCCGAAGGCCGAGGAGGGCGCAAGTGGGCCGCGGGGGCGCGTGAGGAGCCAGCGGACGCGCAAAGGGCCGAGGCGCGCGAGGGGCCAGTCGGGCGTGCGAGAGGCCGGGCAGGTGCGGGAAGGGCCGGCGCGTAGAGAGGAGGCGGCAAGGCGCGTGGGGCTGGCAGTGCTCAGGAGGGGCCGGCTAGGCTGTAGGGGCCAGCTAGGCGCGAGGGGCCGGCGACGGCGCAAGAAGGGCCGGCTAAGAGCAAGGGGTCAGCTAGGTGCGAGGGGCCGGTGACGGTGCGAGAGGGGCCGACTGGGCGCGAAGGGGCCGGCTAGGGGCGAGATGGGGGGCGGCTAGGGCGCGAAGGGCTGGCTACGGCTCGAGGGGCCGGCTACGGCGGGAGAGGGGCTGGCTGGGCACGAAGGGGCCGGCTAGGCACGAGGGGCCGGCTATGGCGCGAGAGGGGCCGGCTCGGAGCGAAGGGGCCGGCCAAGCGAGAGGGGCCGACTAGGCGCTAGAGGGACCGCCTTGGGGCAAAGGGGGCAGCTAGGCACGAGGGGCCGGCTACGGCGCGAGAGGGGCCGGCTGGGCGCGAAGGGGCCGGCTAGGCGGGAGGGGCCGGCTTCGGCGCGAGGGGCCAGCTACGGCGCGTGGGGCCGGTTACGGCGGGAGAGGGGCCGGCTGGGAGCGAGAGGGGCCGGCTGGGCGCGAAGGGGCCGGCTAGGCACGAGGGGCCGAGTAGGCGCTAGAGGGGCTGGCTGGTCGTGAAGGGGCCGGCGAGGCGCGAGGGGCCGACTAGGCACGAGAGGAGCAGGCTGGGAGCGTGATGTCGGTGGACGCTCTAGGGGCCGGCGAGGCGCCGTAGGCTAGGGCGCGGGGCAGAAGTGGGTGGGTGGACCTAACCTTTTCATGATACCATGTTAGAATACTAGAATGAGTTGAAGAAAGAGAGAACAAGGGAGATAAAGGGTTTGGGTTGTACTCTCTAAGAAAACACACCTATTCTAGCCTATAACTTCTACATGCAAATGTATGTATAAGTTGACACGGCCCACTTCGCCATATTTATGAAATAGCCGTCATGACTGGCGCCGTCAAGAGGCTTAAAATCGGATTTCTCCAGCGACCACACGTCTATACGTGCTGGGACGCAGAAGATGATTGCCGCAGCTGCGGCGAGGGCGACGAAAAAGGGCAAATTGCAGCGCGCCATTCGTTCAGAACGGATTGGAAAACTTCGCTGGCGCTTCTTTTTTGCCAAGGGTCGATTTGGCGAATCGCGAGGGAGCGGGTTGAAAAGTAATCGACGAGGCAGAAATGAAAAGTCGCAGGAAAAATGCAACGACAAAGAAACTGGAAGAGGAAAGGTGTGCTAGTGTAGGTGTGGAGGAGAGGAAGGTGATAGCCTTAAAGGAACTGGGGAGGGGTGCAGAATTAGAAGTTGAGTGGAGAATGCCTGTTCTTCTCCCCCTAAAATAGACCCATTTTTGCACTTCTCTGATGTGAGGTGAGGAGGACTGCTCACACCGCAAATTGGGTCAAACTTCGAATGAATTCTTTCCAGGGCCAACTGTAAAGGGAGGAGAGTTTCACACAATTCGCATTATTGGATGATTGTTCTCGTCACCCAATCATGAGGAGTTTTTCTAGCTCTGCGGCTTGTGCGAGGGTTGCGATGCCTTTTGCTTGCCAGAATTCATTCAGGCAAAACACCCTTCGTTCTCCTCGATCAAAGCCTGTATCTATATAATTTTGAGGCTCGCAACTGTAAGAGGCGTTTCGCTCAATAGGGGGGCAGCTAGTGATCTCAAATATAAATAATGCCACAACTTGCAGAATTGCACTTTCCAAAAATAACATCCATTTGCCATTGCAACAATATGGCTTCCAATTGTTAAATTATATATTTGATATATATATATATATATATATAATGGCAGGCTTGGTAGGTATTACTGGATTCTACTATAGAGGGTTCAACCCTTCTTCTTGTATCCCTCTCTCTTCTATTCCAAGCCCCTTCTCTCTTGACATTTTCCTAGCACCTAAAACCTCTCGCCATTCATGGCGTCTCTTCCTAACTAGCTAGCTTTGACATGGTATCAGAGCGGGAGGTCCGCCCTGCTGGCCCACCTCCTCACGCTTCCGCACATTCCGCTCCTCGCTCTTGTCCTTTCCGCGCCGCCGCCATGGCCATGTCGAGCTGCCGTGATGGCGCCAACGTGCTGCCGTGGCGGCGTCTACGCGCCAGTGCGCGGACGGCGCGGACGGCAGCGGCCAGCGCCTAGTCTTAGCGCTGGCTAGCACGCCCGCATGCAACCTGCGTGCCACACGGGGCGGTACGCTCCCGTGCTCCACTGCTGAAGCCCTGCCCCCCTTCCCCTGTGTCCCCTCTACCTCGCCGCAGCCGACGGCTGACTCGCGCCGGCCGTCCCACTGTCGCGGAGCCCGGCCATGCCGCCGAGTGCTGCGAGCTCCGCCGCCGCCGGCAGCTGTCGTCGAAGCCGCCGCCGCCGTAGCTGGTGCCGCTGGCCACGCCGCCGCTGTCGACGCTGCAGCCGTCGCTGCCGTTGCAGCCGCTACCCTCGCTGTCATCGTCGCCCCGCCTCACGCGCCGTGGGGTTGACCATGCTGGAGTAGCCGTCACTGCTGCTGAGTATGGGGGTGCTAGGGGGTGTGTGGCTTAGTGTGCTGTGTGTGTGGTGGGCTTTCAGCTACCAAGCCTAGGGGGTGTGTTAAATTATATATTTGATATATATAATGGTAGGCTTGGTAGGTGTTACTGGATTCTACTGTAGAGGGTACAACCCCCCTTCTAGTATCCCTCTCTCCTCTATTCCAAGCCCCTTCTCTCTCGACATTTTCCTAGCACCTAAAACCTCTCGCCATTCATGGCGTCTCTTCCTACCTACCTAGCTTTGACACCAATTTCCATGTGCCATGTTATTGTTACTTGCCAAATATGATATTTATTATAAGCACATGACAATCCTAGCGAGAGGGGATGTGTATTGAAAACATGTTATCGGTTTAGGCTCATAATTTGACCATCCTATTTTCTGTAAACTTATATATATATATATATATATATTGTTACATAGAAAGTATAGGCTAGATAGGGTATGTTCTTAGTGGGTACAACCCAAATGCTATATCTTCCCTGTTCTCCCTTCTTCTATTCATTCTTTCTAGTCTTAACATGGTATCACGAGTAGGTAGGTCCACCCACCCGCTTCCACCCCTCTGCCGGTAGACCACAGGCTCTCAGCTCCAGTTCCCGAGGAGTCAGCAGAGCCCAGTGGTCCTGACGCAGAGCTGGTGGGTTGCCTCATGTACCTGATGACTTGCACTCGTCCAGATCTCGCATACCCTCTCAGCATCCTGGCCTGCATTGTGGCCACAGGCAGACATCGACCACAGCACTGGTCGGCCGCTAAGAGGGTTTTGCGTTATCTTGCAAGTACATCGGGCATCGGGCTAGTGCCGGGAGGACGCAGGCCAGTGGTCCTCACTGGGCACACAGACGCTTCTTGGGCAGACGACGCTGAGACTCTCAGGTCCTCCCAGGGCTACTGCTTCAGCCTTGGGTCAGGTGCCATCTCGTGGAGGTCCACTCGCTCCTCGTCTGTTGCTCAGTCTAGCTACGAGGCTGAGAACTACGCCAGTGCCATGGCGGCACAGGAGCTCCGCTGGCTGACCTTCTTGCTCGCCAACTTAGGTGAGCGGCCTAGCTCTGCCTCGGTTCTGTACGCTGACAACAAGGCCATGATCCTCCTATGTCAGGAGCCTCGACTTGAGGGCTGAGCGAAGCACATCCAGCTGCGGTACTTCCTCCTGCGCGAGCTGCAGCAGCGTCGCCAGGCCCGCGTAGTACACTTGGCCTCGGGTGCCAACACAGCTGATATCTTTACTAAGGTGCTTGCGCCTAGAGATCATCAGCGGCACTGCTTGCAGTTAGGTCTACTCCCTGTTGACTCTCACTTGCTAGGCCCTTGAGAGTGTACTCCTTTCTATTTATGCCTTCCTGACTGGCCTTGTGACTTTTCTTCTTGTGGTTGGACTAGTAGTGCCGCCCTGGTTTGCTCTTGTCTTGCTTGTACTCTTGCTGACTGGTCTTCGGGCCCCTGCCTCAGAGGTTGGACTAGTAGTGCCACCCTGAGCTGCATGTTTCTTACTCAGCACTACCCCTTATCTAGCCTAGGGGGTGTGTCAACTTATACATATATTGTTATGTAGAAGTTATAGGCTAGATAGGGTATGTTAGTGGGTACAACCCAAACGCTATATCTCCCCTGTTCTCCCTTCTATTCATTGTTTCTAGTCTTAACACTTTCCACCTTGGTGGGTGGGTGGGAGTTTCCCAGCGTTTCTTTGATGACCAGCAGCTAAAGATAACAATGGCTGCGCGCGGTGCAACTCAATGGTGACTTGAGTAATTAGCATAATACATGGCTATGTAGACTTCAAAAGCAAGCAAGGTCCAAGTAAGTACCGAGCAAACAAGCATTACAATCACGCATTTGATTGTAGCTGATTATACATTCTGGAGCAATCAATACCAGTTCCCATCAGGCTTCTTCGGCAACCAACCTCGTTCGTAACTGTTCACAAACTGCCAGTGGTGCGTCCCTGCGGCATCAAGAAATACGGGCAACATGCAGCAGAAGAAAGAACGGGTTACTTTCTGAGCAGTGCAAAGATGCGATTTTCTGCAATAGACAGTGTGCTAGAGAGCACTGACAGCCCTATGGCGGTGAGTTTCCAACAAGGAGAGAGGGAATCGAGCACTGACTGGTGGCGTTGATTTTCCAGGACCAGAAGAAAGGAGATCGGAAGCACTGACTGACCTCCAGGACCAGAAAACAGGAGGGAATGGAAGCCTTACTGGTGGTGTTGGGTTTCACGGACCGAATGAACCAGCCTGCCTTGTGTGAGGAGTCTATTTTTGAGGCGCCTCAAAAATAGACTCCTTACTGGTGGTGTTGGGTTTCGAGGACCGAATGAACCAGCCTGCCTTGTGTAATGAGTTGATTTTTTAGTTGACTCACCGTAAGGCTCAAAACCCAACACCACCAGTAAGGAGCCCGACACGGTCGACTCATTACACACGGGCCTAATGAACCAGCCTGCCTTGGGTGGGATTGAAGGGGAGGAACAGCCTTCACCGTGGTGTTGAGTTTCCAGGCCCAGAAACAGAGAAAGAAGAGGATAGGGCACTGACCGGTGGTGTTGAGTTTCCAGGACCAGAAGAACCAGCCAGCCTTGGCGTAGCTGAAGGCCTTCATCTGTGCGAGGGAGAAGTTGGCCTGCTGCTCTGCTGTGGCGCTGTTGCCCATGGCGTTGCAGAACTCGCCCACCAGCAGCTGCCGCCCCACTTGCTGCCAGTCAATCACAGCCGGACACGTGGCATGTGGTGGGTGAACAACCAAGTGAGATGTCAAAGCTTGTGGCCCAGGATGTTCAAAAACTTTGTTTTCTGTGGAGTTGGAATATTGACCGTCAGATTCAAGCCTTGATGATCTGATGGTTTAAGGGGTTGGATTGCTACGGGCTCGAAATCTATGGTTGGATAACTTTCATGAAATCGTTGGAATAAGAGCCGTCAGATCTAGACGCCTTATTTCAAATCTCAGGTTGCCAAGGCCTTTGGAGCACATGGTTCATCTCCCCACCCCACCTGTTGGAAGTTGACGATGTTTTTTTTCCAGGTGGTTATGAGTAGAGGGTAAGTCTATGGTGCAGGGGTCAAGGGTTGGGATTGCGTGCCCCACCTGTTGGAAGTTGATGATGTTGGTTTTCCTGGTGGTGTAGGCGTAGTCGATCTCCCAGTCGACGCCCTTGGAGCTGAAGAAGTTGCCAAACACCTCGTAAATATGCTGCTCCAGAATCACGTTGTTGTGCCACACGTCGCTCATGTGCCACATCACGTCTCCAAAGTTGCTGCCCACACGGCCCTCCATGGCCACGAAGCAGCACACGCAGCGGGCGCGGATGGCGTTGAAGGCGTCCGAGTAGTACCCTCGCATGTCCTCCAGCTCCACCCCTGCGTACCCATTGGCACCCCCCACCACCGGCTCGTTCAGCAGCCCCATGCCCAGCCACATCGGATCGGCGCCGTACCTGTGTGGATCGGCATGAGAGAACCTCTAAGTAGGGAAGACAGTAGAGAAACTCAAAAGAGGTTGTTCCAGCAGCCCCATGCCCAGCCACATCGGGTCCGCGCCGTACCTATGGGGAGGGAAGTCATAAGTGCATGCACGAAACCAAAACAACTCAAAACGACGTTGTTTGAAGGCTTGGGAAGTCGCATATGGGTCCCGGGATGTGCAAGCAGACTGATGCTCTTATCAAGGTATCAGAGCAGTCTGGGGTTCAATTCCTGATGTGAGCCAATTTGTGCCGTTCCTCTTTGCCGTCTCCCAGAGAAGGTGTCACATACAGATCACGAAGTTGGTGCATCGGTGTTGATCTCAGAGACATCTGGAAGGGCTACAGGCTCCGTCCAGGAGACGGCCAATTCAGCACGGCCTTTTCTTCCAGACGGTTGGTAGATCAGTGTTCCAGACATGTGAAACCATAGGAAATTCAACTATAAAAGATCGGTGTTTTTTAGAATTATCAAAAACACCCTCCAAACAGGTGGAACCATTAGAAATTCAACTATAAAAAACCGGCCCTTTATGTACCGGCCTTTTTCCTCATGCATTGATGCTTTCAACAACCCAGGCAACTAGCGCACCTGTTAGCGAGCCACGTGACAAAGTCGAGCGTGCGTTTGATATTGGCCCCTCGCCAGCGGATGAGCCCGTCTCTTGCGTTGCCCTTGCCAGCCTGTGAGCCGGGCGCCACGTGCACACTGAACCAGATGCGCACGCCATACTTGCTCCCCATGGCAAACGCCCAGTCCAGGTAGGCCGATGCACCGGGCACAAAGGGGAACTCGGGGGCCGCGTCGAGGCCGATCCAGTAGGCCAGGGGGATGCGCACGGTGTTGACTCCTAGGGATTGCATCTTCTGCCAATCCGCCTCGGTGATGAAGTTTTGCCGAATGTTCTCGTAGATTGCTGGGGCTGCGCTGCCTGCTGTGTAGGCCGCCTGCCAATCCGCCTCCACCCGCCACAGCTGGGGGGGGGGGGGGGAGGGGAGAGCAGGGGAAAGGGGAGGGGCGAATGGGGGGGAAAGGGGTGAGGGGAACTTGGGGGGTCCATCGAGGCCGATCCAGTAGGCCAGGGGGATGCGCACCGTGTTCACCCCCTAGCGACTGCATCTTCTGCCAGTCCGCCTCCGCTCTGTGCCGAAACGTACGGTTGGCATTAGACATAGACTCGGGCTCTGAGTTTACGTCTGGGACGTGTCATAGACCCGGAACTTAACCTTATTTTCGTTAATCGCCATAAAATCGGTACTTACCTTACCTTGTATTTGGTACATACCATTGGCCCTTTTTTTTTGTACTAAAGTAGACTCAGAACTTCATTTGAAATTTGTACTTACCATTGGCTAAGTGCTGGATCTTAGCCTGGTACACGCCCTAAACTTGGTACCTTGGTACTAACCATTGACTCGATACCTCGTTTAAGGGTTGACCCTTTCTATGGACCGTAGAACTGTGGTGGTACTTTACCGTTGGTTTGGTGAACACCACAGACTCAGTGAAAATCCTTATATTCTGCACTTAGCATTGACTCGAAACTTCACAAACCACATTGGGGTGAAATGAGAGAGGACGGGAGGGAAGGAGAAACCACTAACCACTGTGAGGTCGAAGGCAGCAGTGCTGCTCCATATGGCGTCGTTATCGAGAGGGTCGGTGAGATCAGCAGTGAGGGGTGAAGAACAGGCTAAACTGGGGAGCACATACCGCAGTGAAGGAGGGAGGCAGGGAGGGAGGGAGTGGAGCGGGTGGCATACCACTGTGAGGTCGAAGGCAGCAGTGCTGCTCCATATGGCATCGTTATCGAGAGAGTCGGTGAGATCAGCGGTGAGGGAGCCGTCCGGATTTGCCTGAAGAAAAAAGCCGTTGGGAGCGCGCAGCACCACCCGCACACTGCCCTCCCTCTGCTCCGTGGTGCTGTTCAGTGGCGTGTTATAGATGAAGAGCTCAAAGTTACTGGCATTTCCCTGGGGACGGAGGGAGAGGAGTGAAGGAAATGGGGAGCAGAGCAAGCCATTTGGAGTGCGCAACAGTGCAACACCGCACGCACACCGTCTTCCCCCCTGTTCTTCGGAGCTGTTGACTGAGGTATTGCAGGTGAAGAGCTCAAAGTTGCTGGCTGCGCCCTGAGAGGTAGTAGTGAAGGCAAGGCAGAAGGAAAGGGATCAAAGACTGCCCAAGTTGCTAGCTGCTTATGCTTCCGAAGGAGGGTCAGGTAACAAAGCCAACGAATTGGATGAAACTCTTACTGAAGTTTGGCTTTTGCATTCAGTTTAAGCAAAGCGCAAGATACCGGGTCATTGGATACACTAGCAGGCTAAGTGGGGTTGTTTTCGGTTCAAACACACGTACTGTACGCGTGTTTGAACTGTAGGTCAGCTACAACTATGGGTGCACTGCGCAGTGTGTCAACTGAAAGTCCACGACTCTGACAATACACCTTACCTTTCGGCACATCCTTACCTTTCGGCATATCCTTACCACATCACATACAATATACCCTTGTTTACCGTTGCATACCTCTGGCTTGGTGGACTGGACCCAAACGAATTGCGACTTTGTTGCGGACAGCCCAGTACTGAAGCCACTGAAGCCAGCGAAGCGAAGGCATCTAAGGCAAGGAGCTCACAACTCTATCATCTAGCAGCACGCACGCACCTCCGGCTTGGTGGACTGAACCCAAACGAATCGCGACTTGTTGCGGACAGCCCAGTACTGAAGCCACTGCACTGATATCTGATGGCCAAGGCGAGCACAAGCGGGTATATTAAATACATGTGACATATTAAAGGCACGCCGAAGGTCACAGACATCCTCATACTGAAGCCACCGCACTGATATCTGAGGAGACAAGGCAAGCACAACAAGGTACAGGTGATACGGCACTCGAAGGTCACGAACATCCTATTATTGAAGCCACTGCACAGGTATCTGATCAGCCAAGCAGTGCACAACAAGGTCCAGGTGACATGTTATAAGGCACCTCAAAGCTCACGGACATCCCAATACTGAAGCCACAGCACAGATATACCACAACTCAAGAAGAGCACAACACGATACAGTCAACCAAAACTTCTGCTGTAGGTGATACAGCCAATAGGAGAGTGAATGCACGACGACATGAGTATTTGGAAGCGTCGGCAATAGAAGGAACAGGAGTTCGAAACTGAGCAAGGCCTTACTCTGCGAGTGTTATCGGTAGCATTCTCAACCGTGGTGAGGTGGAGGTAGGTGTCCTTGGTGAGCACGTCGTTGCACTTCATCTGCCAGCCAGCAGTGTGGGAGGGAGGGAGGGAGGAGAATGTGCAAGTAAACAAGACAGGGGTTGGGAAAGCGGGCCGAGAGAGGTAGGTGTCCTTGAATCCTTGGTGAGCATGGCGTTGCGCTTCATCTGCCAACCAACAGGGTGGGAGAGAGGGAGGGAGGGAGGAAAATGTGCAAGTAACATCTCCCCCTCGGGGGCAGGGGTTGGGAAAGGGGGCCAACAGAGGTGGGTGTCCTTGATAAGGGCGTCGTTGCCCTTCATCTGCCAGCCAACAGGGTGGGAGGGAGGGAGGGAGGGAGGGAGGGAGGGAGGGAGGGAGGAGAATGAGCAAGTAAACTCTCCCTCTCGGGGAAAGGGGTTGGGAAAGGGGACGAGAGAGGTAGGCGTCCTTGGTAAGGGCGTCGTTACCCTTCATCTGCCAACCCTGAGAGGGAGGGTGGGGAATGGAGGGCCGGGGGAAGGGGATTGGGGAAAGAGAAATTGTGTGTGTGTGTGTGGGGAATGTGCACGAAGTGAAGAGATGAGTGAATATTTGAGTGCACTTACAATTGTGCCGCCGCCACGGGGTGCATTGACGTATTTCCCCGAAATCACTGAGCGCAGGGTGAACTGCGAAAAAAACAAAAAACAAAAAACACAATTAACAGAACGCCCTCCCTTGCAGACAAAAAAAGCCATGCACAATGCAACATGCTTCACAGCATAGCCAAAAGACTGACATAGCGCAGACATGTTGAACTAATTTTGAACGTGAAGAAGAAGAAGAAGAAGAAAAAAGGAACACAAAGCCAAAAAAACCACTACATGTCTCCCCGTCTCCGCTATGGTCAAATATCAAAGCATGGCTGAAAATGAACAGTAAGTCACATAATGAAGTACAGGGTGTGATGAATACAAAACCAATGGGTAAGTCCACACTGAACCATAACTCATCGTTCAGTATCTCCGTTCTCCTTCCCACACCACCCTTTCCTCCCTTTCCCCCCTCCCCATGTCCACTCACCCGGGTGCCGTCGCTGTACCCCGCAAACTTGAACGCCTCTCGGTTCATCCAGGGCTCCGTCATGAGCCACGAGCCCAGGTTCGCCCCGCGGATGGCCGGCACCTCCATCTCCTCGCGCACGTCGTGCCGCTCCCAGTCGCCCGCCTTGCGGGACTTGAACTGTGGGCTGGTTTTGCCATCCCCACGGATGTACCATCCGTCGGCAGAGCGGAAGACGACATACACGGTGCGCGGAATGTATTCCACCTTGAAAGACAGTGCGGAAGTCGGGAGGAAGACGATAGGTTGCTTATGCTTGAGTGGGTCCAACGCATTGCTTTTGAGTCGAATAAAGCACTGGGAGGAAGACAATGTACACCGTGCGGGGAATGTACTCCACCTTGAAACACAGTGCGGATGATGGGGGGAAGACGGGCGGAAGACGGGAGGAAGACGGGAGGAAGACGGGAGGAAGACGGGAGGAAGATGGGAGGAAGGCGGGAGGAAGATGGGAGGAAGATGGGAGGAAGACGGGAGGAAGACGGGAGGAAGACGGGAGGAAGACGGGAGGAAGACGGGAGGAAGGCGGGAGGAAGATGGGAGGAAGACGGGAGGAAGACGGGAGGAAGACGGGAGGAAGACGGGAGGAAGACGGGAGGAAGACGGGAGGAAGACGGGAGGAAGACGGGACGACATACACGGTGAGCAGGTCCGACACGTGGCTTATGAGTCGACTAAAAAACGGAGTGGAAGGCGACGTGCACGGCCAGGGAATGTATTCCACCTTGAAACACAATGCGGACGACGACACGCTGCTTTTGAGAGAGTGGCCCGACGCGTTGCTTTCATGTCAACTCAAAAGCGGGGTGGAAGGCAACGTACACTGTGCTGGAAACGCACTTTACCTTGAATACTGCGAGCGGATCCGACGTGTTGCGGGTTGTTATGAGGTAGCCTGCTGCGCCCTTTGTCAGGTACGTGTTGCTGGGGGTGAGAAACTTGACCTGGGGGGAAAGAAATGGGAAGCCGGGGGGAAGAGGGGGGGGGAGCACAATCCCGTGCTTACCTTTTGAAAGACCACGCATGTGTAACAAAGCTGCAAAAGAGCCAATCTTGACTCTCCCACCGTGTCTAAGATTCTGACGACAGTGAGCGCCTGTGAGCATATCCCAGTTCGCCCTGTGTGCTTTCGGTGCCTGTGCTTTCGGTGCCTGTGCTTTCGGTGCCTGTGCTTTCGGTGCCTGTGCTTTCGGTGCCTGTGCTTTCGGTGCCTGTGCTTTCGGTGCCTGTGCTTTCGGTGCCTGTGCTCTCAGTGCCTGTGCTCTCAGTGCCTGCGCTGCGCCCTGTGGGCGTGCATTGTGACACCTCAAAACCTGACCCTACCTGTGTATTCGAGACCCTAACGATGGTGAGCGCCTGTGAGGCACTTGGCATGGTGGTGACCCGGCCAGCAACGCGCCCCTCCCATTTCGCCCCATTTGCTGCTGTCCACCACGTGCCCCACGTCTTGGACCGCACCACCACCTGGGGGAAGGGAACGGGAGGAAAAGGAGGATGAGGTGGCGGAGGTAAGTAGTTGCGTGCGCTTAAGACCATGGTCCTGGCGGAAGGGGGTGGGGGTCATCTTGCGCACGTGGACATTTTGAGGTGAATATAGAGTTGACTCATAGTTCACAAGGAAAGAAGCATAGTGCTTAGACGTGTGCTTCTCCCCTTGTGAAGCATAGTGCGCAAGGTGATGCTTAAGGAACACAAGGGAAGAACGTACGGCTGGCTGGCTGAGCCACGTGGACGTCACCTTGGGAGCTCCAGGGCGGATCAGCCGTGCAGCATTGGAGCAGCACTGCCCCTCGCACTTGGCTGGTGGTGGTGGTGGTGGTGGTGGTGGTGAGAGGGCATGGTGGTGACTTGGCTGCCAACGTGACCCTCCCAGTTTTCCCCAAAAGCTGACGTCCGCCACTTGCGCTTTTACCCACAGTCGTGCGTTCGTACCCGTACCCAACTCCTGTCACCCTACCCCCCATATCCCACACTCACCCGGGCTCCGTGTGCCAGCTGGCTGCTGAGCCACGTGGACGTCATCTTGGGAGCTCCAGGGCGGATTACGGGAGCAGCATTGGAGCAGCACTGCCCCTCGCATTTGGGGCCGGGAGGAGCAGGAGTCTCAGACGGCGATTTCCTCTGCAGCAACTCCAAACTCCTCCTTCGAATCCCCCGATCTCGCCTCCCAGCCAATCCCCGCAATCCTTGTGTCCAATTGCCATGCCGAGCCTCGTCCGAAGCATCTCCCCGAGCCTTTCCCCGGGCCTGTGGGGGCCGTCGGGGGTGGTGCACCCTACCAATCGCCATATGCTTGGCGGCATGGGCAGCCCAAATAGCCTCTATCTCTGACTGGGGCTCATCATTTACCGGCTCCACCCAAGTCACTGACTCCCTCCCCTCCAACCCAGGGTGCAGATTGCTCCTAGTCCGTGCACGGATACTCCCAGCTCGAGAGCGTGTCCCTTCCCCCCTGTGACCCCAATCGCAGTTCTTATTATGAGTTCCCAGACACAGGCTCTCCAGCCATGGGTCTGTCTCCGCGTCTTCCGGTCCCAATCGTCCCTGTTGGGATTGGCTCAGATCGTGGGGGAGGTCCGAATGGAGAGCTCTTCTGCCGTTAGAGCTGCTGCTAAGGAGAACATCGGATACAGCTTGAGTCGGAAATTCCTGAGAATTCTCAAAAATAGACCTGCTGCTAAGGAGACTTCTTCTGCCGTTAGATACAGCTTGAGTCTGAAGAAATTCCTTGGAAGGATCGAGTGCTAGTCCGGACAATTTATGGGCAGCCGTTGCTTGACTCAGATTGAACACCTCGTGTTGGAGTCCATCGCCGAGCCTTCTACCGAGCCTATTGCCGAGCCTATTGTCGAGGCTATTGCCCAATCTATTGCCGAGGCTATTGCCTAGTCTATTGCCGAGGTGTAGATAGGTGTCTCGGGAGGAAGTCAAAGGGAACCAGATCAAGGCGGTGCTAATAAAGAGGGCTGTGATTGTAACAGGCAGCCTGGAATGAAGGGAACGGAGGGGTACGGAGAAACAGGAGGATTGTTGAAGAGATTCCTTAGTCCGGTTCACGAGGGGGGACTGTGGAAATGGCTGAAGCATGCGGGGTCGTGAAAGGGTGGGTGAGCGGAGAGAGAGAGACAATCTGATAACTGGGAGCGAAAGATCTGCAGCAGGGATGGGTAAAGTCAACAATTGCAGCGAGGCATTGGCGGAAACTTGCCACGACGTAACTATTCAGGTAAGAAGATACTATCTTGTAAATGCCATACCATTTTGTGGCGTGTCGGAGAGGCGACATTCCCCTGGCGACGTGCGCGTGAGATGATCTGAAGCCTTATATCCAGCTATAGGCTGTGAATCTGGTCAAACTAACTGGCTCGACTAGCCCGAGACATCTCAAAATTGTCGAGGGAGTTGTACATGCCGATTCGAAACCAGGTTCAATCCGGGCTGAGTCCCAATTCCGGAGTTTTTTTAGTCAGCTGACCCAAAGAACACCTGGTTTGACTAGCTGGAGACAATCCTGACTCAATTTAGTCTTGAGTCTCCGAATTTTCAATAAATGAAGCTTTTTTCCCTCGCTCATAACCTGAAAATACGAAGTACTAGCGGAGATACTGCTCGGCACGAAATGCATGTATGAAACGTTCAATCAGGGTAAAGATAATGGCGTTCACGCGTGTTGCGTGTACCAACGGTTGTTGCTGTTCGTGGACGTGAGAGAACGTGTTGTGGCGGTGAGGTGGCCATTCTGCTTTCTGGCTCCAGCATTTGGTTGTTGGTTGCTTGTTTCTGTTCCCTGTGTGTGTCTGCTGCTTGGTTCCCAGAGGTCCTGATCAAGGGCTCCAGTGACCAAACAGTCAGGGTGCGTTTTCTTGGGAAAAAAACCCTCAAATTCACGAGTATACAGAATGGTGGGTTGATTGAAGTGGATAGATTCAAATCAAAACCTCTTGCTCTTTTGTGGCATCAAATGCTCGTAATTTCACATGTGCAAATGCTACAGTTGAGTCTTCCCAGAGCAAAAACGTGGGCCCGGGAATTGTGCCCTATGGTGGAGATCCCTAAATAATGAACAGATTCTCCACAATGTGGTGGGAACTTGTTGGGGCGTTTGGAACCAGAGGTTCGGTACAGGTTGAGAAAACATATTTTTCCCACCCTGAGAACTGGGCCTCTTCAACAACTACCACTTCGCCTGATTATAGCCATAGCCGGGGCACTCCTCCTGGTACCTCCCCCTGCCCCAATTGCTGTACAGAACGCTGGGGAGGTCCTTCCGTCCGGTGGGACCTCGGGAAGCTCGTAAGTGCGACTGACCAGAAACGCAAATTCGGTCTGCGAAACGGTGGACGGTGTTACGGCGACGAAATTTACGGTGACAAACCTCGCCTGTGCCAAATCTGCTTTCGTTTCGCATAAAGTTACTTCTACTCTTCGCAATGCAACGTGATACGAATCCCCACCATCCTCGCCCCGGCAGATTGCCTCGTTGCAGGTGCAGATGGCAGACGTGAAGCTGGAATGCGATGGAATTGCTCTTCGCAAGAAGCTGGTGAGGAGCGCATTGTGCCCACTTTTCAACAAGCAAGAGAGGTGCATGAACAGTCAATGACAGGATTTGACAGGATTACAATACAAACCATAGAACACTGCAGAGCGATTTATTAGGCAACTATAATACCAAATCCTACTTGGCCGGCCACACACGGTACCAGCCCGTCCATGCTGAGAGCAATCCGCTCAAGCCCAAGGTAAGTGGGTGGCAGCACACCGGATTCGGCTCCACTTGAGAAACGGAAATCAAGAGATCTCCAAACTGCCCTGCAATGCTCAGCACACGCATGAGCCTCTCCATTCGGATGGAACTCAGCGCAATCTTTATCTTCATGGCTTCACCTTCCAGCTTTCTCAATTCTTCAATGCAGGCCTCTTTGCATGTACACAGCAGCGGCAAGTTGTGGCTTCCAAGCCCTCCACCTGCAGCTGCAGCAGCAGGAGCAGTCTTCCCCTCTGGTGCAGCTGCAGCGAGCCAGCCATTCTCGCCTTCACTTCCCTGGCTGCTGTTGCTCTTCCCGCAGTCATGACTCTCGAAGCTGCTTCGCCGGGACGCATCGTTGCTGAAAGCACATGTGCTGCTGTCGGTGCCGTCGTCACCGCTGCTCTTCCCATGGCGGGGACTGTTCTTTGCTGTTAAGGCAAGGGTCTCTGCTCGCTGGTGCAGCTCCTGAAGCTTCGCCTGGAGCTGCTTCTCCTGCTCCATGCCCCTCTTGATCATGATGATGTCCAGGGAGATGAAACACAGGTACAGAACGGACTCGCCATAGGCTGAGATATACGCGGTCTTGGCTGGAGGGGGGGGGGGAGGAACGAAGGGACGCCACGTCAATCATGGGGCAGGCAGGGTTGACGAATTTTCGGCCACCAAAATAACTGTCAGATTTGGACACGTCACGAAGGAACAATAGGGCATAGATGTTAACCGGGTAATTTACCTGCTAATTTTGGATCGAGCAGGCCAACTTTCGACATCCACGTGAGGTGATCAAAAAAGAAATACACCATTTCACCAGCGCTTCCGACCACAGAGAGAGTTGTCACCTGAACGGGGGACATGATAAGGATGGAGAGAAAACGAAAACATAGGAAAATGCTTCTGAGGCACAGTCAGGGCACAGGCAAACAAATGTAGAGGGTAAAAAAAAAAGACATAGGCACTGGCCATCTTATTGATGCACAAAGGAAACAATGAATCAACAAATGGTCCAGGACAGTCCGATAGGACAGTTCGCATGTTCTCCAATGACAGGGCACTCACCTTCCAGTCCGAGAATTCGGTCGTCCGGAGGTTGTTGAAACCAGTTAAAAAACGACCCAGTCGAAAAGCCTTGCGGCTTAGCCCACAGCCAATCTCAAACTTCTGAGCACGGTCGGCCAAATCTGCGAGAAACCAAGCAGGATTGGAATTTAAAAACGGTTAACGGGATTGTGGAGACACCCTGGTAGGCCATGGGCCTGACAATGTTCAGCGAAAGAAATAAAGAAAAAACGAACGTCACGGCAAATGCCGGGTGCTGCTCCCCTGAAGCAACGTCAATGCGTACCTTTGTTCGTTCGGCTGAGTTGCCAGTGCGCGAGCTTGAAGACATACTGAAACGTCTTCACCAGCTTGTCGATGCCGTCGCGCTTCGCGAGGAACACCACGAGCTTGTCCAGCTGATCGTTCTCCCTGACAGAAGCCATGGCAATTTGAGGAATTTCAACAGAAATTCTGCAACTGCCGATTCCTCCAGCCAAATTCCAGCTGATGGTCGCTTCAGGACTTGACGCCGACTCGACTTTACCGACGACACCCTAGGTAGCTATTAGCTAGAAATTGATTCCCTCCTGTGCGCTCGTGTGGCACGGAGTCGAAGGGCTGAGAGGGAAACCAATGAGTATCAGTCTGTGATCGTCAGTCGGCGCCTGGGAGCAACTGCTAAGCTGCGGTCATCTTTTATACGCAAGCGCACGTGCGGAATATCCACAACCACCCTATGTTTCCGACATACATGACTCAGCAAAGACGAGGTTGGGAATGACGTGTACTGTAACAGGGCGGTCTGGCTCTAATCTAATGGCATGAGGCACATCCCGCCATGGCTGGCTGCAAGAATTACCAGCGGCGAGTACTTGAGGACGGTGGTTTTTGCGAGAGGCTTGAAATGTGAAATATTCAAGAAAGGGCAAGGCATGATGCCGAGCCTCCGATCTGGTGCTGCCGAGCCTCCACGCTGGCGAAAGGTGATTTCGTTTGGTCAGTTGTGACAGTTTCGCGCGTTGAACTTCGATTCGCTTGGCCTCCCCCTTGAGAGTCTCCCAACCAAACCGGAGTTCAAGCCGAAGGAGCTGGCAGAAAATGAAGGCTCTTGGAAGACTGATGACATACACGTCATCGCTGCTGGCCCCCCTGCCAAGTCAGAACCACGTCCTTGTTCGTCCGCCCCTCGTATCGAAGCCCTGCCCAGGGATTTGTGGGGCCTAGTGATAGTGGAAGTGAAGATTTCGATCCTGGGTATATGGTACACCACCTATTATAAGGTAGTTATAGTCTATATTGAAAATGCAAATCTATTTCCACTAATCATGCTCGTGTCACCACGTGTGGATGCGCACATGATTGGATATAAATTCATCAAAATGCTCAAAATAAGTCAAATAAAAACGTTATCCGCGTTGTCTTGCAGAAATGTGGCATTTGTTATTGTATAGGGCTTTTGATGTAGAGATGCTCTTCCTCATAGTTTCCGCTCATTATAATTCCAATTAATTATTAAAATAAAAATATTTTCAACCTGATCTTCAAGTACGTGCATTGAAAAAGAAATTGCACATGCAGATTGTATCACATGTTACTACGTTTACAGATGTACCTAACAGTTAGCTAGAAACAATTCTAGTTTAAGTAATATTGAGTACGTCTCCCGCCAGGTTGTTGCTGTTGCTGCTCCCAGATGTCAGATTCCTACTGACACCCTCCTCCATCCACATCAGGTGCCACGACCACTCTTCTATTAGTCGGGCTCCTTAGACCAGGTCACCGTTTCGGTCTAGCAATGTCCTAAATCTCTCTTGGCCTCTCCATTCTCTAGCGACCGAAGCATTTCTTTCGTCGCACGGTGCAGCAGGCTTCACAGCCTGATTAGCAGCAGCCATGGTGGACGCATCAGCTCCAGCTTCGGAAGTTCCAGCGGCTTCCGAGCCTGTCCACAAAGAGTCAGGCTCGGAAGCCGAAGCGAATGCCGAAGCTCTTCCGGTGATCGACATGGTGCCGATCCTGGAGCTTGCCGAGGCTAGAGTGTGCTCCTGTTCGGTGAAGGACCGTGTCGGTGTGTTCGACGCCTCTATCTCGTCAGCGCTGGACAGCAAAGGTCCGTTATTAGAACATTCATTTCCTAATCACGCTAAAACGTGCTAAAGAGATGTTACGGATGCAGGAATGGTGTTCATGGTGGATGGATCCGGCACAAGGTTGATGGTGCCTGATGGCAGATTTCAGGGTTTCTGGCAATGAGATCCGAGATTCAACGAATCAGACGGACGTTTACGCATTTCTTTTACGCATTTTGTGTAATTGCGACATTGACTAACTAGGGATGAGCGAATCTTACTGAGCGAGGGGTTTTGGAGGGTTCTACACTGGATCGACTGAATTTCATGGTAAGGCTGCGATGCCAGTGGTAAACAAATTCCGGCCTTCATCGCCGTTGCCTGGTAACAGTAGCGTGCAAGTTCCATGGTGACAGCCGTTGTCCAGAATGAGAACTTCTTATCCTCCCTGACTGTTTCTGAGATATAGCATTTCCACGATTTTCCCAGTCCCTCTCCTTCCCCCCCGCCATAATCTGCCGTCAACCCCCCCACCATTTCCCCCCCGCATCTTCCCGTTTCTCAGCCGTGGATGTAGCATCAGCAGCCCCTCGTCTCACCTCCTTCATCCTCCAGACCCTTCCCATCGACTCCGACCGTCGCTCATAAGCCTTTAACAAACGAGCCATAACCAAAGCCCTTCCCCATCCCTTCCCCATCCCTTCCCCATCCCTTTCCCATCCCTTTCCCACACCCCTATTCCCTCCCTTTCTCAGCCGTGGGTGTGGCTTCTGCTGAACCTCGTCTCGCCTCCCTCATCTTCCACACTCTCCCAATCTACGTCGACCGTCGCTCCCAAGCATCAGTTGAGCGAGCGAGCCATGACCAGAACCTCTATTCCTTCCCTTCCCATTCCCCGATCCCTCCCCTGTCTCAGCCGTGGATGTGGCCTCTGCCGCCCCTCGCCTCGCCTCCCTCATCTTCCAGACTCTCCCCATCTACGTCGACCGTCGCTCCCAAGCATCAGTTGAGCGAGCGAGCCATAACCAAACCCTCTTTTCCTTCCCTTCCCATTCCACCATCCCTCCCCTGTCCCAGCCGTGGATGTGGCCTCTGCCGCCCCTCGCCTCGCCTCCCTCATCTTCCAGACTCTCCCCATCTACGTCGACCGTCGCTCTCAAGCCTCAGTCGAGCGAGTCATAGTGAAAGCCCTCAAGCGCGAAACTGCCTTTGTCAAGGCGTTCGCCGGAGCTCTTGTCCAAGCCTGCGCCAAGCCAGGCTCGGTGTCAGCCTCGGTGGCCGGCTTGGTGCGGTACAAGCTGCTCAAGTGGTCGTGCCTGCTGCTGCGGGAGAGGGGGGATGCGATCGTGGGGGTGCGGGCGGCGTTCTCTCGTCTCGTAGTGGCGCAGGAGACGCTGCTGACGGTGGCATTGGGAGATGAGCCGAGGATGAAGCGGGCTTCACTGCATGCAGTCAATGAGATGCTTGGGACAGTGAGTGCAACCCTACCTTTAAAAGGTTACTTTTGAGACGTCTCAAGAGAAAACTGCTTCACTGCATGCCGTCAATGAGATGCTTGGTGGGACAGTGAGTGCAACCCTAACCTAAAAAAATAATGCCGTTTGGGCTTCGGTTCAAGAGTTCCCGCTGTACACAAACCCTGACATGACCCCTGACGTCAGATACTGAATAAGAATCGCATGTGCATCCCTTTCCAAAGGAGGTGCAGATTCAACCCTGATGTGATGTCAACATCATCCCCTCCCCCACTCCAACCACCCCCCCCCACCCCCTCTTCCCACTAAGTGTCTCGCTCTCCCAGGTGCCCTCCCTCCCGTGCACCAGCATACCTGGCAGAAGTGAAGTCCACGCCTGTCACCCTTACCACCACAGCCGGCATCACCAGCTCTAGCGTGACTTCAATTTTTCCTCTTCCCCCTCCACCCCCCCCCCCCCCCACTCTTCTCCCTGCTCTCCCTACCTCTTCCTACCGCCCTTGCTCTCCCAGGTGCCCTCCCTCGCATTAGCTTACCTGGCAGAAGTGAAGTCCACGCCTGTCACTCCTGCCACCGTCGGCATCACCATTTTTAACATGACTTCAAAATTTCCTTCCCCCGCGCCCCCCCTTCCCTTTTCTCCCTACCTCTTCCTACCGCCCTTGCTCTACCAGGTGCCCTCCCTTGCACGGGCATACCTGGCAGAAGTGAAGTCCACGCCTGTCACCCTTACCACAGTCGGCATCGCCCACCCTCTTCTCACCTACTTTCTCGAGACCAAGGCAGGCGAAGCAGGAGGTGCCACAGGGGCAGAGGGTGTAGCCAATGGAACGGCAGGAGATGGAGCAGCAGCAGCACTTGATATCGCTTCAGAGGCCAAGGTAGGTGGGATGATCACTGGGATGGTTGGGTACTTGTCAATCAAATTTGGAGTTTTTCCAAAACCTGGAGTTCTTTTGACTCATGAGAGAACGTTTTAAAGTAATCTAGGTCTCACGGCATGCTCTCTGCCTTCGCTCCCTCCTACCTCCAACTTCCCTTCCTCCTTCCCCCAACCCCCCCCCACTACTCGCGTGTCTCTCCCTCCCCCCCCCCCCCCCCCCCAGGCATTCTTTCTAGAAACCTATTCCAAGCTGGTGTTGACCAGCAGGGAGCGTCCCCCCCACGTGGAGTCAGAGTCAGAGGCGTTCGCCCCTCCGCTGCAGGCCCTTGGACGCTCATGCCCCCTCTCCCTACTTTCTCTCCCGGTATTCCGCTTCCTCAGACATTCTTCCTGGAAACGTACTCCAAGCTGGTGCTGACCAGCAGGGAGCGTCCCCCCCACGTGGCGTCAGAGGCGTTCGCCCCTCTGCTGCAGGCAGTGCGGCATGACGATTTCAAGGGGGCGTTGTTCCCCACAGCTGCCAAGATGCTCAAGCGGAATCCCGAGCTCATCATGGATGCTGTTGGTGAGTGGAGGGGAGAGGGAGTGAGAGCGTGTGTGTGGTGTCAGAGGCGTTCTCCCCTCTGCTGCACGCGGTGCGACACGCCGATTTCAAGGGGGCGCTCTTCCCCACGGCTGCCAAAATTCTCATGAGGAACCCCGAGCTCATCATGGACGCCGTTGGTGAGTGGGTGAGAGAGAGTGTGTGTGTGTGAGTGAGTGAGTGAGTGAGTGAGCTTATCATGCACGCTGTTGGTGGGAGAGGGAGTGAGAGAGAGGGAGTGAGGGAATGAGAGAGAGGGAGTGAGAGAGAGGGAGTGAGGGAGTGAGAGAGTGAAGAGGGAAAGGGGAAGGACAGATGCTGTGGTAGTGATCAATGGTCTACTTGTACCCTCCCTGACTTCCCCCTTCACAGGCTACCTGCTCTCAACTGTGACGCTAGGCCTTAGTGCCTACGCACCGGAACTCCCTGCTATTGGCTGGCCTGCAGGCGAGGCAGCACGAGAATGCAGCCACAAGGGAGGAAGCAATTGCAGTGGCTGGCGGCGCTGAAATGCCCGACCTCTCTGTCCACCCACGTCCCTTCCTCTCCCCCCTCACAGGCTACCTGCTATCAACCGTGACGCTCGACCTCAGTGCCTATGCTCCGGAGTTGCTCCCGACTCTAGCCCTGCAGGCTGCAGACATGGCATCAGAATGCAGGGACAATAGAGGAGGCGATTGCACTGGTGCCGCTGACATGCCTTGCGTCTCCGCTTCTCTTCCCCCCCCCCCCCCCCCCCCACCAACAGGCTACCTGCTCTCAACCGTGACGCTAGACCTCAGTGCCTATGCTCCGGAGCTGCTGCCCACTCTGGCCCTGCAGGCGCGGCACCAGAATGCAGCCACACGCGAAGAAGCTA